CCTTCCAATCTCTAACATACTGTGATTCTTATAAAGCATCTTAGAACCTTTGATTTTTGCACATAGAAATGATTCACAGGAAGAGAAGTGTATCTGCTGTGGTAGATTACAAGAACCATACATTGCATCTTTATCAATTAAGCCTAAATAAAATGTGATTTAAAGAAGGAAAAGAAGTATTTTATAATAGAGTTTATGTTAAACTGCTAGTGGTATTAATCTGGGACGTGCGCCAAAATCTGAGAAAAGACATTGGTGAAAGGCGGCGTGTAGACACTTGTATGTCTGAATGCAGAGTGAACATCTGTGTATCTGGCAATATACAAAAAATGTGCAGTGCCTCTATGAGTTTCCTGGACTGCTGTTTGCTGCAATTTTCTTTATTCTTTCTAAAATAAGGTAGTAATCTCTCTGTGGTGTCTTCCTTTTTACTGAGGAAGTCAGGAATTGAAACAGCTCTATCAGCTCTGCAAATTCTTGTCTAATGCACATATATGCATTCTCTTAATACAAACTCGATGATTATATTGATCTCATTTGTAACAGTATACTTCCATGTTGGGTAACTTATTGATTTCCTCAGGCATGATAGTCCTTTTTAAATAAACCCTAATCTAGACTATGGAAAATGTCTGAGAATTATAGCTTCTTTTTTTGATCTAAACATAGTATTTGGGTCTGAAATGCTATGTGGCCTTTCCATCTCTAGTACCATCATTTCTGTTTCAGGCTTTGATGTAATGAACAGCTCTGAGGGGAAATACAGCTGTTCTTGCTTTCTCATTTCTCCTTGTCTGCTATGGTCACTCACAAGTACACAGCGTATTCTTTTCATTTAGATTTTTTTTTTTAACGTATAACTACTCCTTCAACTTATGCGTGCCTTTTGAAGATTTGTCATTATTGGTTTGCACAGTCTGTAGGACCAAAATTCTTACAGAAGCTGAAAGGGGGTGAGGGGGTGCAGTGATAGGTGAGTGAGAGAGGATTTTTTTCAAATGTCTTACGTTAAATGTATAATTTCTGCTTTTTTTAATCTTAAGAAATTCCTTCAAACTGAGGATGAGAGTCTGTGATACTGCCTTTCATCCACTATCAAGAGATTAGTGACTTTCAAAAATAGTAAATCTTGGGGTGTGTAAATACCTTTTAGAAAGCAGAACTATGTTTAGTAATATATAGAAATATTAAATGTATGATTTAACATGCAATAGTAGTGCATTTTAATCATTTAAAGTATAAAGCTTTGCATTGACCTTTAAATCTGAATTCCTTTGTTTTCTCTAGTTGTCTAAATTTGTAATATTGTTTTTGGTTTTGAACAGTAGTATCTATTTTTGCCATTTTGGATGTTTCACCTGTTACCTAGGCTTACTTTGATGCAATTTACTATACATAAAGCGATTTTAAATTTCTAATGAAATAAATTTTTGTAGTGTAAAAATTCCCGTGAGTCTACAGGAATCATCACATAAGATTAAAATTAATGGAAAATAGAAATCAAGCTTTATTTTGTATAGTAATATATTTAGAAATTGTCTTTATACAGGTAAATGGTTGCAGTTTTGTGACAACAACAGCTATACCTGCAGACTTAATCAGGGTACAGTATTGCAAATTGAATTGTAATACTAATGGTGAATACTAAAATCCTTGAACAATTTGTTTTGAACAAAGACTATGTTGTTGACTAATACTTTGTTTTGCATGCTGTGCTCTGTATGCGCGTTGTTTGTTATGTATTAATATAGTGTATTGTTGAAATGCAAAACAGTTCACTACTTCTATTAAGGCTAAGATTATAAAGCAGAACTTGCAGAATGCTTTATGTCAGTGCTTTTGAGGTGTGAATTATACTAACAACGGATGTTACCATGGCAATTTCGATGCTGTATTGTATGTTAATGTGCTAAGGTGGCTTTTGATACAGAATTTGATATTTGAGTTTACTTACTGTGATAAAGCATAAAAAATGGCATGTTAAGGAACTTGGATTGATTTAGGAAGAAGAATTTGGAGTTGGAGAGATTTGTTCTGATCGTGGAATGCAGCACTGTCACATGCAGCTAGAGGTGATGGAGAATGAATTGGCTGGGAAGCAACAAGAGATTGAAGAGCTAAACAGAGAGCTAGAAGAAATGAGGGCAGCCTATGGTACAGAAGGATTGCAACAGGTATAATTACCTTATGTTGCTCTCTACTTGCTACTCGGTTATGTGCGAAAATGCAGAGCATCACCTGAAAGAGTTCACGTTTAATGCTTTTCAGCTGTTCAGAATGCAGTCAGTGTGTGATATAGAATTACACATAATTTCTTTCAATCACATACCATGTGCTCTGTTTCTTTGAATGGCATTTCCATTTTGTGTCCTTTTTCTCTGTATTTTGTGACTATGATTCCAGTCGTCTTTGTAGTGACTTCCTTCAGATCAGGAATGGAAAGACTACTTTCTTTAAGCAAAGCCCTAATTCTTCTCAAGTTGGGCAAAGACTGCATTTCTTTAATACCTTCCTGTTCCTCCAAGATCAGAAAAACCCCTCAGGTTTTACTTCCTAAGGAGTAATACAGCTGAGTTGACACTTGAACCAAAAAGGTATTTGTATGTCAGACTTCACAGTCTGAAATACAAGGCAACTGTGTCAGAATGTTTTAATAAACATCTAATAACTTGGGACTCCAGAAGTACCACTGGAATTTAAATTTAGGTTTTAAAGTGAAGAATATTAAATACTTATTCTTCCAATTTAAGCAAGTGGTGAAATGGACTGAAGTCAGTGATTTGTCATGCTTCATATCTTACTTATCTCTCTTTTCATTTGGATTCAAGTCACATCATTGTGTTTTTCCATTTTTTACAAAGTACTATAGAATACCAAAATTGTTCTAACATTCAGTCATTTTTACTTTCATTATTATTGCATAATTATAGCTTTTTTTTCTGCTTTGGTTTGTATTTTTCCCATGAAAATGAATGTAATTTTTCCACCATACTAGAGTGATCTTGAAGTGATTGCCCTGGAGGAGGTGGTTTATCATTCCTTTGTCTGTTAGTGAATCTCTGGCGTTACATTTTAAGTCAAACTTAGCTTCTAATTACTGTCTTTTATCTGTTGTGCAAAACATAATAGTCATAATTGTAGCATAATAAAGAATGTAAGCTTTATTTTAGCTTGTTGCAATTGTGACTACTGCTAGCTTTTCCTGAAAAAGGTGAAGGTGGAAATGTTGGCATTTTTTAAATGACTGTGATTACTATTTTTAAAATAAATTTAAAATATATTAAAGCAAAACAGGCTGTAGTGCAATAATATTCTAATAGTTGCAGCATATTTTTGATAGCAGTAAAGTGCATAATAGCTGAGAAATGCATATGGTGTACTTTTCAGAAGAAACAAAAGAATACAAAAAGGGGAGTGTGGAAGATATGTTGTGTGCTTTAGATCTGCCTGTTTGTTACAGGAAAAGATTGAATAGAAAACGTTGATAATTATCATATATCAACATGTGGCTAGGAACAGATAAATTTAATTGTTCGATTTCATTAAATAGATGCAAAATAAAAGTTATGACACACTTCAGTGTCTGATCTGTCCTTAATTTTCTCTAACATCTAGTATTTCCACTAGATACAGGCTTTTAAAGTAGGAATCCACTGCAGCGGTCTGAAAAGAACTTTGAATTTCCTCAATTTCTTTGCATAGTTTGTCTTGTTTAAGGGACTTGTGGTTTTTATGTCCCACTGAATAATGTCCCTGTCCTCTCAGTCAGTAACCTTTATCTGGAAGCATTATAATTTTACTTCAAGACTCAGCATATAATCTGGAGAAACTTCTTTTTGGGACCACCATAAGCAAAACAGTTACAGAAGTTGACTGATGGTTTAAGAAATTTGCAATATCTAGACATGAAGCTTCCACTAGCCTTGCATGAGTTCAAACTGACAAAGTGACTTTCAAGTGAGTAACTTATCTATTTATATAATTGCACATGAAAATAGTCCCAGTTAATATTGTAGAATATCTGGCTGCCTGAGTGTAATCCTACAAAAAATAAACCACTTGCAAACGTTTTTTTTTGCTGTACTTCCATCATTTCTTCATCATTACAAATTACAAAAGATTCTTCTATTAAATACACTGTATGAGTTTTGCAGCTTGCGCTGGTTTTCTTATGTAGTTATGAATAATTTCTCTAGGTTCACAATGTAGGATACTGCATGGTATCTATTATATGCTTTTAGTACAATGAATACAATTTATTGCACTTTCAGTGAGAGATGATATAACTTGCTTTTATTGTGGTAAAACTGTGTGGACGTGACTAGTTGTACGAAATCACTGAAACACTTTAAATAGATACTCTGACTTCCTTTGTGATGGTTTGTTTATGTGGCCATGCCTTTTAGTTTAAAAGCAATTTATATATTTAACTAATTAACTTTCTTAAAGGTTCAGATTTTGTTCTTTGGTAAGTATATTTTATAGAGAGGTCATATATTGTTAAATGAGGGGAAAAAAACCCCTGTTTCTGAAGTATTTACAGATAGAGTTTGTGAAAACAAATGCTCCAGTAGGTCTGTGTGACATCTTTTAAATGGAGAGGTTAGGGTTGATGTATTCCTACTTGACTAGAACAAGCTAGTATTTTGTCTGTGGCTTTGATGTGCACTAGTAGTTTAAATTTTATCTTTTGTAGCTGCAAGAATTTGAAGCTGCTATCAAAAAAAGAGATGACATCATTACTCAGCTCACTACTAACCTACAGCAGGCACGGAAAGAAAAGGATGAAACTATGAGGGAATTCTTAGAGCTTACTGAACAAAGTCAAAAACTGCAAATTCAGTTTCAGCATGTAAGTTACAACACTACCAATATTTATTTGGGTTTATAAATTGGTGTACCTTTGCAGGGTCCATAAATGGCTACTTCCTGCAGAAACAGAATTTTTTTGTGCATTTTTGAAGAATTGGTCTCTTAGTATAGATCAGCAATCACTTTACTGGTCCTACAGTTATCATTATTGTACCTGGTTTATTGTAGTAATTCACTATAAAATAATAAATATTAGTCTGTTTTCTTCCCTAGTAAGTGGTGATGACTTCTGATAAATACTGGATTATGGCATTTACCTTAGGGGAAAACGTTTGTGTAATTAGTTCTCAGAGCTTTGAACTGAAATCCAACCTGTTCCCTTTGAAATCAAACAGCCATCAACTTCAGTGGGCCACTGTTTCATACCCCAGTCCTTCCTATATTTTTGGATAAAACCTGCCTCTTGTGTTATTATTAGAAAGTAATTTAACTAACAAAGTGAAGTTTCAGGAAAGCATCTTTCTAAAAAGCACTGGTGACTGAAGTGCCATTGACACTGTTAATCTGCGTGACTACAGTTTACAGTGTTGCATTTGAATATTATAGTATTTTGTGCTGTTTAAGTACTTGATATAGCTTTTTTGAGCTTCAGGTAGATTATATGCTGAAGCTTGAGTTTTTATTACTAAAAATCTGATTTTGGGGACAGTAATTACAACTAGTTCATTTTACTACTTAGAAATGTTTCCGAGACATTGCTGTCCAGTCCTAGCTAACCAGAACAATTTAATATTGAATATTTTTTGTTGGTTGCCCTTCTCAAAAGAATAAGGATATTTCAGTTCCTCCTAAAAGGAGGTGATGTAGAAGAAGAAAGTAAAGACCACTCTTTCTGTAATGCAAGCTGTTTCTGAAAATTCTGATATATTTTAGTTTGTGGGGGTTTTTTTTGTTTGTTTTTTTTTTTTTTTTTAACATTCAAGTTGCAGGCAAGTGAAGCCCTAAGGAACACCAGCCATAGCTGCACGGCTGCTGATTTATTGCAAGCCAAGCAGCAGATACTTTCACATCAGCAACAGCTAGAAGAACAAGAATGCCTGCTGAAGAATTATCAAAAAAAGAATGAAGATTTTGAAGTGCAGATTACACATCTTCAAGACAAAATCACAACATATGAAATGGTATGTTCCTTACTAGAAAGATCTCTTTTCCTAATCTCTTTTTTTCTTTTTGGGATTCCTTAGTTCCTCTGAAATTTAAGGGCCAAAGCACAGACTGTGAGTATGCTGCATATTATGCATACAAAGATTTAAAGTTTTTAAGACTGCTTCAGTTTAACTAAGACATAGTATGTGTATAATTTAAAAATGAATTTTTATGTATTATTATGTTTTTAAAAATGCAGAAATATTTACAACAAATTATGAAACTATACTATATATTAGAATGCCTTAATTAAATCACATTGTTTTGTTAGGAAAAAAATTTTAAATAACCTGCTTGAACAATCTTTTCTGTCTTAAGGAACAAAGGGATTATTTTCTTTGAGTACTTTTTTTTTAATTATCCTTCATGGAAAATATCTTAAAAGTACCTAAAAAATAATTAAAAGTGACAAGAGACACAATTTTCGTTAGATTGCACAAAGTGGGGTTTTTTTTGTTTGTTTGTTTGTTTGTTTTTTAAGTATCAGAGCACAAATGGAAAAAAAAATGGAAGTGATTTGGGGCTGGGGAGCAGGGGGAAGGGAGGAGAAGCAGGGACTGTCACCTCTTCGAAAGGTACAGAAAACCTCCAAATTAGGTCAACAACTGATTTATATTTAGTTTTTATAAATGATCATTAGCATTCTAAAGAAAGGCATTGTGTTTAAATAGCTGAGTTTATAAATGTTCTTATATGTACAGATAATGAACTAAAAATAAGAACATGATTTTGCTCATTTTTTAAAGGAAAAACACAAAAATTATTCGAGTAAACTACAAGAAAAAGAAGCATTAGTTGAAGAGCTGGAAGCAAAGCTTGGAGAAGAAGAAAAAAATTCATTTCAGCTTAAGGAAAAATTATCAGATGTCAGTAAATTACTTGAAGAATTGAAAGAACAGATTTCGCTAAAGAATCAGGAGATAAGTAATATTAGAGTTGAACTTGCCACCTACAAACAGAAAGAAAGACAATGTTCTGATGAAATAAAACAATTAATGGGAACTGTGGAAGAATTGCAGAAACAATGTTATAAAGACAGCCAGTCTGAAGCTGACATTGTGCAAAGAATGGAATTAGAAACACAAAGGAAACTGGCACAGCTTCAGGCTGAATTAGATGAAATGCACGGCCAGCAGATTGTACAAATGAAGCAAGAATTAGTTAAGCAACATGCAATGGAAGTAGAACAGCGTCTTTTGCAACAAAAAGTAGAACTGGAGAAAACTTCAGGTCTGTGTTTGAATGAGAACATTAATAAAGATCAAATGCATTTAATGAATATTAAAATAAATGAGTTGAATGTGAAACTGCAAGATGCTGATAATGAAAAGGAAAAAATAAAGCGAGAATTGTCACAACAGATGGAAGTCATTTCAGCAGAGAAGTCTCTTCAGGAAACTAAAATTGAAGATCTTTTCCAAGAACTTAATTTTTCAAGAGAGCAGGTTCAAAGAGCCAAACAAACTATAGTGGATATGGAATGTAGATTAAATGAAGCTGAAAAATACCAGTTTGTGATTGAAGATTTAAAAACTCAGCTGGCTTCTGCCTCTGAATTTAGGAAGGAATTGGAATTAAAACATGAGGCAGAAGTCACAAATTACAAAATAAAACTTGAAATGCTAGAAAGGGAGAAGGATGCAGTTTTGGACAGGATGGCAGAATCTCAAGAAGCAGAATTAGAGAGACTGAGAACAAAGCTTCTGTTCAGTCATGAGGAGGAACTTTCCAGACTTAAAGATGACTTACAAAAAGAGCATGTGGTGAACATGGAAAGCCTTAAAGATAACTTGAATATGCACCATAAACAGCAGTTAGATGAGGTACAAAATGAAATGAGTCAAAAGATAGAAGCCATGCAGTATGAAAAGGACAACTTAATCACAAAGCAAAACCAGCTGATATTAGAGATTTCAAACCTAAAAGATAAACAGCAGTGTATTGTAAATTCTAAATGTGAAGAAATGACACTTCAAATCCATGAGCTGCAGGAGGAGATTGAAGTGCTTAGGCAAGAGAAAAAAGAAAAAGGTACTCTTGAAAAAGAAATTCAAGAGCTGCAGTTTAAGACTGAGTTGATGCAGGAACGAATGAGGGAAACCTTCAAAAAAAATGTTCAGAACTTGAAACACAAAATAACCTTCTTAAGAGGGAGAACAAAACTCTGGAAGATAAATTAAAAAGTATGTTGGTAAGCTCTGAAGAAAATGTCATTTTTAACAACAGTGTTAACTCTATGTCAGAAATTGTGGACTTGCAAAAAAGGATAGAAAAGCTGATTACTGAAAATGAGCAACTTAAAAACCAAAATGTTCAACTCCAAGAGGACACTGAAAGGCAGAAGAGTGCCTTTTCATTTACTGAGAAAAAACTTGAAGCTAATTATAAAGAGCTGCAGAAAGAATGTGCAAGTCTTCTGAAGGCAAAAACTGAGTTAGAAGAGAATAAGAATAAGCAGGAAGCTGAATATAAAAGCAAGCTCAAAGCTTTGGATGAGAAACTTCACAACTTACAAAGCGATAGACCGGTTTTATCTAAAATTAAAACGTCTGGTTTTGAAGGGAGTAAAGAAATCAAGGTGTCCAGGGCAGATACATTTGAGGCTGGAGAAGTTGTTGAGAAAGATGTGACAGAACTTATGGAAAAGCTTGCGGTTACCCAGCATGAGAAACTGGAATTATCCCTGAGACTTTCTGATCTCTCTGAACAGTTGAAGTCAAAGCATAGTGAAATTCTTAATTTAAATGAAAAAGTTAAATCCTTAAAAGATGAGAAAGAACGAGTTCTAGCAAATTTTAAAGAACTAGAAGTCATAATTAGCCATACTCAGAGAGGAAATAGTAGTAGTAATGACCCTAAGATAAAATGCTCTAAAGGAAAAGCTCTAGGGACTGCTGCTCCAGCATCTGAAAGTAGAAATAAAAGCACTAGTCCAAGGAATAAGGTTGATGAACGAATAAATGTAAGAGGAAATCTAGGTTCAGGTGAAGATATCAGTCATGAGGTAACAAAAAGAAAGGATGTTCAGCAAATGTTGGAACCAGAAGATCAGTCTCTTGTAGAAGATTTTTATGGGATGACAGACAGGCTGACAGATGAAACATCTCTAATAACCATTACGCAGAGTGAAAACAATCTTCAGCAGCAAGTGGATGCCTTAAAATCAGAACAGGTATGTTACATAAAACAATAATAGAAAATAATTTACCCATGAAAATTTGTAGGAGGTTGCACTTGGAAATTTGCATCATATTTTTCCTATTAGCTGCTTTGAAGTACAGGTGCATGGTCGTGTATGTGGCAGTGTGGCCAATGGTTGAAAGTGTTTACATGAATGACCAGGATGATAACCATAGTCAATGTATATGAGGATGCTATTTTTCAGTGAAAGAAGTTATCTTCTCTTAACACTTAATTAATTCAACAAGAAAAGGTAAGGAGAAGACGTGTAGAGGACTTGGCACTTTGATATAGCATTTAGCTTACTTACTTGAGGTTAAAATTTATTCAGGACGTAGTTTTTTAATCTGTGATTAGCTTTTCAGTTCTCTAAGTACTCATTCAAACAATATAATGAGATAATGAAACTCTTGACTTCTTCAGTCATCTTTTATCAAACTTGTGAAATATCAAACTTGTGAAATACTAAAGTTCCATTATCAAAATTTTTGTGTATATATAGTTATCCCTTCTTAAGAAATGTATCTGGATGTGAGAGTGAGAAGAGAAATGTGTGAAGATACAGAAGTTATGCATATTGTGTGATTCTAACCCATCTCTATGTTTTGCTAGAGAAATTTTGCTGGTATTTTTTAGTATTGTAAATGAATTGCAGGTAGTATGGAAAGGATTATTTGCCAATAAAAATATCTAAGTATTGAATTACCAGTATTAAATTAGGTACTGGAATCATAAATTTGCCTTTTAATTTATGTACAATGATGAAGTTGAATAGCATGCTGCAAGAAGTATGCAACCAAGTTTTCTGTAGAAATAGATGTTAACCAGTCTTCTACTATTTTTTTCAGATTGGTTTGCTTTTTTCCTGTTCTGAAAACCCACCTAACAGTGAACTAATACCACCACTGCTTAATTTTATGTTGTGTTGTAGTTCATTCATTTCCTAAGAAATAAAATCACAAGTAAAGCCACATTGGAAACAGTTGTGAGATTAGAGAGTAGAGCTACAGCTGTATAATGCAATATATTTTTTTATGATATGTGATAAGGGTCTTGCCATTTCCTACCATGCAACTAAAAAAGTCATGATAGTCCAGAAGCGTCTACAAAACTTTTCAAACTTGGACTCTAGATAGCTCAGTATTGGCATATCCTAAATACGTTTTTGCTTTAGCAATAACATTCCCAAAAATGCAGACTAGAACTAAAAGCCTTGGAAATCAATGTTTTTTGAGGTCTGCTAACAATACAGTATTTTTTCTGTATTTGAAGTGAACTTTCTAAACTTACTGTGTTGGTAGTGATATTACTCTCATTTCTCAGGGTAGTATTCATTTGGTTTTTATTGATGCAAAATAGGAATTTAAGCATATTGAGTTTTGTTGATTTTAGTTTGATTTTTATTTTAAGTTGAAGGAGGGTCATAGGATTTTGTTACAATTCGATTTACAATTAGATTTGCCTAATGTATACCATATATGCAACATTCCATTCAACGCATTATTAATTTCAGAAATTCGCAAAGAAATGACTTTTTTGTTTTAATGTTTCTCTTTCTAAAATGTGTATTTTTATTCAAAGACTGATTTACAGCTACAGATGGAAGCACAGCGCATTTGTCTGTCCCTGGTTTATTCAGCTCATGTAGACCAGGTTCGTGAGTGCCTGAAAGCAGAAAAAGAGAATGCACTTTGCAGTCTTAAAGAGGAACTTGTACGTACTCATCTACAAGAGATGAACGATCTTAAAAAAGTGCATCAGCTGGAGCTCCAGAACTTGAAACTTCAACAAGCAGGTAACTTGACCAAAATTACAGGAGTGAAGCTCTTGGCATGAAAACCAGTGTCTTTAAAAGAAAACAAGCACAGGAGTTTATTCATGTAGCTGTCCAATAAGTTGCTTTTGTAGAACATTTTGAAGTGTTTTTGTACCAAAATTATTTACCCATTACAAGTAGTCTGTTATTCAAGGTACTTAAAAAACCCGAAAAAGTAATAATTATATAAACCAAAAAAGGAATAGGAAGCATTACAACTCATATTTTGCTATTTGTATCACACAGAATCACAGAATGTTTAGATATTGGAAGGGACCTCGAAAGATCACCTAGTCCAGTCCCCCTGCCAGAGCAGGAACACAAGATCACACAGGAACGCATCCAGGCAGGCTTTGAATGTCTCCAGAGAAGGAGACTCCACAACCTCTCTGGGCAGCCTGTTCCAGTGCTCTGTCACCCTCACTGTGAAGAAGTTTTTTCTCATATTCAAGTGGAACCTCCTATGTTCCAGCTTGAACCCATTGCCCCTTGTCCTGTCACTGGATGTCACAGAGAAGAGCCTGGCTCCATCCTCTTGACACTCACCCTTTACATATTTATAAACATTGATTAGGTCACCCCTCAGTCTCCTCTTTTCCAAGCTAAAGAGACCCAGCTCCCTCAGCCTTTCCTCGTCAGGGAGATGCTCCATTCCCTTCATCATCTTTGTGGCTCTGCGCTGGACTCTCTCCAGCAGTTCCCTGTCCCTCTTGATCTGAGGGGCCCAGAACTGGACACAATATTCCAGATGCGGTCTCACCAGGGCAGAGTAGAGGGGGAGGAGAACCTCTCTCGACCTACTGACCACCCCCCTTCTGATACACCCCAGGATGCCATTGGCCTTCTTGGCCACAAGGGTCAATTCATTGTAAAGAACTATATAATAGACTCACCTTTAAGGCTGTATTCCTTACTGACATAATGAGCAAATGCATCAGCAAAAGTATTTTTGTGCTTGTTTCATTCTCTGTTCTTTGATTTCATGCATTGACTCCCTGCCCCCATTAAGTAAGCTTCTTTACTAATACTTCTTGCCTCGTTGAGGTTTTATGTTGTCATGATGGTTTTCTATCCTTACTTTTTCTGCCATCCTATGATTTGCCCTTGTGTAATTTTTTGGCAAAAATTCTTTGCCCTCCTGGATGTTTCTATAAAGTTTGATCTTTCTAGAGGTCACTAGCACACAAAGCCATTTCTTATCACTTACTCCTCTTCAACATGCAGTTCTACCATAATTAATCTGTCTGTGTAATTGAACAAGAAGGAGGGGAACAAAAAACTATGCTTTTCTAAAAGCTGAAGAGGCAACCTCACTGAGGCAGGAAAATAGGTCTTTGCAAAGTTGTAGTGCATCTAGTGTTTAATAATAATATGAATAATTTGTATCCATAGACGATGAAGTCAAATCTACACAAAGGCTTATAGAAAAGCTGAATGAAGCTGTAACTGAGGAATGTTCTAGGCTTGCTCAGGTAAGACTTCAGAAAAAGCCTTTTTTAAAATGGAAGTTTTGAGAATGAAAAGTTATGTGTACAGTGAGTCATCATATTTTTCTGCATAATTTTATTTGTGGCTTTTCCCTTCGCGTGGATCTCAAAATAGACACTGCTAAACCTGATCTTCCAAAAGATAGTTTTGCAGGTGTTTTTGTATTTTTTTCATAAACTATTTTATGTCCTTGTCCAAACAATTCTTCTGTCTTACACATAAACATTAGACAGAAGATTAATTCTGTCTTGTATCTACTAGTTCGGAAGTACTTTTTTCCTTTCTGTGTGTCTTTGGCTATGTGTTTTTGATTTAATGGTGGTCTGATGTCAAGCACATATTGATGCACAAGGACATCACTCTCACATCTGCAATGAAGTTGTAATTTCTTTCTTAGCTGCAGCATACCTTTCAAAGATTTAAAAGTCTCTAATAATCTAACAAAATTGCTGTCTATATTATTTTCAGTAATTAATATTGTAGTCAAAAAATGAAGGTTGTTTTTGGTCTGTATTCTAGTATCAGCCACCAATAATACTATGTTGCCATATGTTTTTTTGTAGATATGTAATCAATGGCCCTTACAGGTACTTTTTGACCAGCAATCAAGTTACTTATTAAACTTATTTCCGGATAAATTAAGCTACTTTTAACATTCATTATAATCCATGGTTTTCCAATCTTAAATACTTCAAATGGTTGGGTTTGGTGGGGAGTTTTTTTGCCTTCTTTGCTGGACTTTTTCCAACTCCTTTTTGGGAAAGTACATAGCAGAACTTTTTTACTTGAGAGCCAGCATAGGAGAGATTAAGCAGGACTTCATGATAGCTCACAGAAAGTAGAAGCTGAACGGAGAGGCTTTGGCATTAGTTGTTTCACAGCTGTGAAGAATGCTGCCGATCTGTATGATCCTATGTTGAGCTTTTGGAGAAATCATGATTTTACTTTTTTAAGTTGAATTTGGTGTCTGTTGAGTCCAAAATCTTTAAATAAAGAATCCCACTGTGTGCTCTGAGCTGGTCGTTTCTTTTCAAATATAATTTATCTTCAGAAATCATATGGATAAATCTACTGTTTGCCTATGGCATCTCTTCTGCTAGCCACATACCACCAACAAACATGAGGCATTCTGTTTATGATTTGCTAGAGTTTTCTTACACCATCCCCTTTTATCCTGTTTGTTCAATACATAAGAAGAAGATGAATTGTAATCTCTAAAAAGATACAAAAAATCCGCCATAGGGAATTCTTCTTCCAAGTAAAATTGCAGTTTTCAAGAATGAGACATTTACAATATAGATTTGCTTTCAGTGTTAATAAAGGAGGCCTTTCTCTGAAAGTTTTTAATACTTGACAGTTCCAAATGACATAATGATTCCAAAAGATATGTAGTCATGTTTTAGTTGAATAGTCTTTCTATAGCTGTTTCTTTTATTAGGACTTCTAAAGATTGTCTAAGTTATTATGACTCAACATCTAGGCCGTCATTTCCAAAGAAGATAATACTCAACAAATACTACTTTCCTGCTACCATTTTTCTTGTTTTCTTTGTTAATTGTGATTGATAAATAGGAAAAATGTGAAGTATTTTTTATTATTGTTTCATTTGTTGTGCAGGTTTTGTGTGACAATCAGAATGAACTTTCTTTACCTGCTGTAGAAGCTGGTGATCGGGAACAGGATATTTTCCATAGACCTGCTGCTGTGAAAGAAAAACTGAGTGTAGAATTACCAATACACAGAGGTCAAGCTCAAGGTAATGACATCGTACTGTCATGGTGGTTTAAAAAAAAATACTGATTTTTAGTTTTTCAGACTGGCAATTATGCCATTAGTCTGTCAGGTGCTAATTAAGATGCCTAAATTGCTGCCTTAGAGATTTCCTCACTATTCTGAACCACTTTTTAATTAAGAGTATCTTGTGCTGCTTTCATTATAGTGGAAATTGGTGAAAAAAGTTTTCTGTTTTGTTTTCCTCCTCCTTCTGTAGAAGAAGCTAGCATCTCTACCAAAAAAAATCATATGTATCAATACTATATAAAAATGCATCCAAAATTTGGAAGGTGCCTCACTTGTTTCAATAATATGTAATGTTTGTCAGATAATTCTTCAGTGGCAAACTTGTGAACAATTCACTGTATTAAAAATGATGGTAAAACGTTTTATTACTTTCTTTTGTTTTAAAGTCCCTGGTTATCTGTGTGATTTAGCTGTGCGAGAACATGTGGATGCACTTCTGCACAAGATAATGGAAGAATACACTAGGCTGAAAGCACTTCAAACACAGCTGATGAAGGATTGTAAACAGGTAGACTTTTCATAGCACATGAGTATTTGAGCATTTGAATTTTTTCTGTTGCATGAATTCCCCTGGATGAGCGAAGAATGTGTTTGAAATTGTGTTTGTGTATCCTGTATCCTGGTTGAGTGGCAGAGTGAGGCAATGATAACATGGAGAAAACTGCTACCCATGTCACAGAATCATGGAATGGTTGAGGTTAGAAGGCACTTCTGGAGTTTGTATAATCCAACTTCTTTCATGAAGTAGGGTCAGCTAGAGGATGCTGCCCAGAACTGTGTCCAGCTGAATTTTGAGTATCTCCAAGGATGGAGAGTCCACAAGGCTGGTGGGCAGCCTTGTCTTCTTCAAGTTACACATTCCCAGCTCTCTCAGCCTCTCCTTGTAGGACAAATGCTCCAAGCCTCCCATCTCCTTTGTGACCCTCTGCTGGACTCATGGCAGTATGTCCGTTTCTTTCTTATACTGGGAGTGCAGCACTGGACCCAGCAATCCAGATGTCTCACCAGTGGTGAGTAGAGAAGAAGGATCACCTCCCTCAACTTGATGGCAAACACTCTTCCTAATACAGCCCAAGAGGCTGTTAGACTTTTGTCATAATGGCACATGGCTGGTTTCCATTCAACTTGGTGCCCACCAAGGCCTGCAGGTCCTTTTCTGCAAAGCACCAGCTGGTCAGTCCTCTGCACATACTGGTGCACAGGGCTGTTCCTCTCTAGCTTGCAAGACTTGGCATTTGCCTTTGTTGAAGTGTATGAGGCTCCTCTCAGCCCATTTCTCTGGCCTGTTGAGGTCTCTTGAAACAGCAGGACAGCCATCTGGTGTATCAACCACTCGTCCCAGTTTTGTATGGTCTGCAGACCAGCTGAGGGTCCACTCTAGTCCCGTCATCCAGGACATTAATGAAGAGGTTAAACAGTAGTGGCTCTGGTATCAGCCCATTAGGTACACCACAAATTATTGTCTTCCAACTGGACTTTGTGCCACCAATCATAGCCTTTTGAGCCTAGCAGTTCAGCCAGTTTTGAGTCAGCCTCCCCACCCCCATTCTTCATCAGTTTGTCTGTGGGCATGTAATGGGAGGTGGTGTCAAAATGGTGGTCAGGTGTGATTTCCCCTTCATAAATCCCTACTGACTACTTCCAAATGGAGTAGTCTTCTCGGCCTCATGGGTTTGGAAATGGTTTCCAAGATTATTTGCTCCATCATCTTCCCAGAGATCAAAGTGAGGTTGACTTGGCTGTGGTTCCTCAAATCTTCCCTCTTTCTCTTCCTGAAGGTAGGATTGCTTTTATCTAGTCCTCAGAAACCTCCCTCAATCACCTTTGAAAGATAATTGAGAATGGCCTCACAATAATGTAGACCAGTACCCTCAGCACTCCTTGGTGTATCCTATCAGGCACCACGAAATTGTTCATGTCCAGTTTGTTCACTGACCTGATCCTTCTCCACCAAGGTTGTCTTCCTTGCTCCAAATTTTTACACTCATTTCAGGGGCTTGGAATTCCTAAAGGCAAATTTTATCAGTTAGTTTGGAGTTAGGTACTTCCATGTATTAAATAGATTGCACTAGCCAATTATATGGAGAGATAGTTGCAGGTCATGTGTATCGATGGATATACATGTGCAAAAAATTATTTGTATGTGAAAGTGGCATCTTGGGCCCGAGGAGGTTAGTGTCTTCCTCTCCTTCTTGGAGAGGAAGTGTAATGCTCCTGAAGTCGTAGGAATTGTGACTCAACAGTTTATATCCAGAGAGAGGTGTTTGAGATTTGCAGTGGACATTCTGCACAGGCTGATCAACCAGCTATAAATGTATATTTGGTCATTCAGGCTGTAAAATGAAAGACATTGTTACACTGCTTAACACTTGCTTATGCATTGGCCACGAACCTTTTTTATATGTTTATAATTACAGTTAATATTTTTACATTATTACTAGACAAACTGTTGCCATTTGTGTTCACTTGGTTATTTTTTAGGTCAAAGAACCTAAACAATCTTCTTCAGAAAGGAGGAAAGAAGAAGAACCTAGCCATCTGGAAACAAAAAAGGAATGTCTTCAGACCCCTTCACAAGGTCTAATGGGTAAAAAGATGCACATGCTGTTTTTAATGTATGTATATGCAGAGAGAGAGAAGACAGTGACTTTAAATTTTAACTGATTTATAGCTTACTACAGCTTGACGCACATAAGAGGTTTTTGCAGATTTTGCAGTATGATACTCTGATTTTCTTAGGTCTCTGACATGTTTCAGAATTATATTCAGTGAAATAGTTTTGGTTTAGTCTTTTTCACTTTTCCACAGATAAAGTTCCATTAGCTATATCAAATATAGTTTTGCAAAATGGAAGATCAAGTTATAATTAGTTGTTATGGAAAAGTAATTGCTGTGATATCAGAAAAAAATTTAACTACAGTAATTATTCAGTCCATCACTGCTAATAACTTGGGAGGGAGTTAATTTAATGTAATTTATTCTCCCCTGTCTTCAAATAATCTACATATAGATCCTGCAATTCAAGAATACTGTTTGAAGGAGATAGGGAACCTTAAAACACAACTTGAAGAACAGCATGCTCAAGAACTGGAACACCTCCGGTCCTATTTCCAGCAGCAACTGAAAGAAAGTGAAAAGCGGTACACTACAGAGATTGTCCATCTGCAGGATAAGCTTCAGGGTGCTGGGGTACCCTCTGGCCATATGAGGTATTAATCAGTTCTTCAATGCTTGTCACTTTGCATTGTGTACAAAAAGAAGTGTTTCAAATAACCATTCATGCAAAACTATGTGTTTTACTTCCAAATTTGAGAAATTATTTGTAAACACATTACTCTTATGTTGTTTTTGTTCCTTCAAGAGTTGTTAAGAGTGTTAGGAAGAAATTACATAAACATTGCAAACTGGGTAGTGCAGCATTTAGAATTTATTAAGTTTTCGTAGTTAATAGAGGAAGATTTGATAATTGGAATAATGTATAAATGTCATTTCCTATATGTGAGCTTTTTAGCAGTAATTACAAACTTCCAACTCAACAAACCATTTTTAACCGTTGAAATTCCAGGCAATGTACTTTACATCTAAAGACACCTCATACAGCATAGTTGCATGGAATTTATTATTTTCTAGAATGGTATGTAGCAATAAAGTTTGTGGCAGAGTTGAGGTTCACTGAACACATTCTCGCTTTCACCAAGTCATGGGCCATGGCACGTACTCATAAGCCTCCTCCTTGCCCTGACCATTGTGTTCATTCAAACCTCAAAGAGGTACAAGTGTCTTATGGGAGATCCTGACAACTGTGGAGCCTCCTTCTGTTCCCTGATTCTTTCACTGTCTCCTTGGATGTGTTCAAGGAGTGGTGAATGCTTTTGATTGTGCTATATTCAGCATCGTCTTTGATTTCCTGTTCTTCCATTTTTGACCCTCGTACTCCTTTTATTTCATTTACTATGCTACAAATCCACTAATTTTCTCTGCATTCATCTTTTATCTCTTGCATGAGAGAGAACTGTGAGGGTTTGTTAGTCAGACCAGTGCCCAACTGTAAAAGGGAAATAGGTAGAAGGTAAGAAGTTAAAGTTTTGTAAACAATTATGCATCTGTAAGACTGAGGCCGTAGTTTTATACCATTGCTTTCCACAGTCTGACTTGTAGAATCAGTACACATTTATTAACCTGAGCTCAGTTTTAAGGGACTGTGTGGCTTCTTAATCAATTACTTTTTAATCCTTTCAGAAAAAGACAAAACCAAACAGTGAGCATTTTCAAAATGCATTTTGTGAAACTGTACACCTCTGTATGTGTGTTGGCCAGGACAAGTTATAAATATTCATATATGATTTCTAAATTATTTTTAAATGGGTAGTTAGTGTTCTGATTTCATCCATAGTAGCTTTTCATCTAGAATGCTCCGAACTCTTTTTAAGTATGTTTAACAAGCATTTAAGTAATTCTCGGTATTTATAAGCTAATAGTAGAAAAGAAGTTTCCCATGAAGAGGTGCATTCTCCTAGCTTTCATGCCTGAAGTTCAGGTTTTAAACATCAAAACAAAACTGGATTTTTACAGGAAAAGTTCCTAGATCAGTACATAAATTGTTTTCTAATAATGTAGTGAGGAGGTCTGTCCCGTTATGTCTTAATCTGGAGGAGAAGATGAGCGGTGATTAATGGTGTGGTCAGTGACCTGCTGAATGATCTGTTATTTACTCAGTCTGCATCCATGTTTGTTGTTGCATCTTTAGAACTAAGATCTAAGTAGGATTTATAGCTGTGGCCAAGCCTGGGAATTTTCTGAGCTGTTTTTGTCTGGTTGTGTATCCTATTGCAACATAAGAAAAGAAATAAAGGGAAATCAGTTGCTACTGTTCATTCATCAAGTTAAACATGAATACTAAAACTAATGGCATACTTTCTATAGTTAAAAATGTCACAAGTTTTATAAAATTACTGCTTTGGACACTTATTTCAAGATTATCGAAAGCAGCTCTCAGATCTGAACAAAAGAAAAGCATAGTGTAGTTAAGACTGTAAGTCTCACAGGCAATAAACTTACCTTCTAACTTAATCTGTTTTGTACCCTGTCTTTTAGCAAGGTATTAGTTTCTTTGTGGTGGCAGACCACAAATACTGGAGGAGAGATTTTTTTTTTTTTAAGGTTGTTTGATACTGTATCTTATCCTTTTGGCAGTGTATTGCTTTTAAGTCTTTTGCAATATGTAGTGAAAGGGGACCTGGAGTTTTGTGGTATGTGGTGGTGTTTTGGTTTTTACTGATTTATAGCACTCTGAATATATAAAGCAGTTCTGTTGGAAAGGACAGTCTCTGAATGTATTTCAGATGTTGTTATCTGAATATAAATGAACCATATTGGCTTTCTTACTGTTTGCATGTGTATGCCTCATCTATGTAAAACAAGAAAGAAAGCAGTGCGTCCGTTGGTAAGCATCAAAAGAAGCAAAATAAATACAACTGTTTCCAGGTGTTTTTATGGCTTCATACACATAACCATTCTGGTTTCTCTTCTATCCTTATGATTCAAACAGGCACTTTTATCGTCATCTTATTGTGTATAGTTATTGAGCATTAAATATCCTCAGGTATCTTGAAAAGTAAGTTGTTTGTGAGGTTCCTGGCAAAAGTAATCGCAGGATCATAGAATGGTTTGGGTTAGAAAGGACCTTAAAGATCATCTCGTTCCAACCCTGCCATGGACAGGCAAAAATGTGTGTTATGTTGAGAGGAAGAGCTAGCATTTGGAAGGCGGAAGAATTGCAAAGTTAAGTGTATGATATTAAGACATGTGAAAAGGTGTGTTCTGAAGAAAATATTTGCAGTCATTTATTACATATATGTTTGAATGTATGTAATGTATGTGTACATTCATAGAATGCATGTTTGAATAGAGGAAAAATAATGTATACTGATGTTTTTTATTTACCCCCCTCTGCTTCTTTCACCTTTTTAGTGTATCCACGGATTCACAAAAAAAGCTAAAGGAATTCTTCAGGAAAGTGAAATGCGCTGAAAATCTACATCAGCAAAGAGCAGATGAAGCACCGGAGGTATCATATAACTCAGTTGACAGCTAGTATACACATGGTCAATATAATGTAGATGCTTAGGGTTCTAAGATAAAATTAAAATATGGGTTAATATTAGGTAGTTTTAAAGCAATTATTATCTTAGCACTGTGCTATACTATTAGACAGCCCATGTTAGAGGAAAAAAGATTTAAATTTTGCTGAAAAACATTTCTGGAAATTATGAGCGATAAATATCGCTTTATTGAGGCTGGCTTTAATTTTTTTTTTATGTCTTTATTTCTTCTCTGCAACAAGACATTTGGGTTGAGCTGCTTCTTGCTAAAGTGGAAAAAAGTAGTGTTCAAATTCTGGGATTTCTTCAGAAGTCTTTAAAATATTATGACTTTTCTTTAAACACTAGTTATAAAAGAAGAGTGATTTAAGTGAAATCCTAATACTTTTGAAGTATAGACTGCACAGTTTAGGAGAAATTTTGAAAAAGTAATCCCAGAGATTGTAGAAACCAAATGCAAATTGAAAAGTCTCCATACGTTCCTCCCCTAGTACTGATGGAAACCTGGCTCAAAAATTCTGTTTTGAAAAATAGTGATGCTGTTTTGTACTGTCATGCTGTGCTTTCTTATCTGTTTTCTCTGCATTTGAAATTCAAATAGTGCTGGAAGAAGAGTTCTTGCAAACTCAACTTCTAACATTAATTTTGAAGCAGGAACAAGGCAAGGTCTTTTACCCAGTTCTTTTATGTTGCTGTACAAAATTATGTGATTTGCATGAAATGAAGATAATCTAATTGAGGGAAAAAAATCTCCTGTCAGATTGAAACTTTTAAAATTAATGAAATAAAAGCAGGAATACATGATCTGAGATTTCATGGTTTTCTTACAGCTTGCTGGTGAAATGGAAATGCGGAATGATCTGGAGGTTGTTCAGTTGCTAGAAAAACTGTACCAAGAAAGATTAGAAGAAGAAATAGCAAAGGTATTGCTTTCATTTTCTTATCTTAAAATATGTTTTAAAAAATACTGTCATTTTCATTTGCCGTTTCTGACAAGTCAGTTGTAATACTGTATGCTAGCTTTTGTTTGACTTGTTTACAAGGAATTGCTTCATTCTGATGCTGAATGGGGAAGTCTTCAAAAAATTTTTTTTGACTTTTTTTAGTTGTCTGTTCTGTTTCTAACTTGTGATTTCCATTCATGTGGGGGTTGATGGTGGTGTTTTGTTTGAAAACTTCAAAGTAAATAGACAGCATGCAACCAGACTTGACACTAGCATTTATTTAGAAAATCCAGAGGCTTAGAGAGTGGGTATCTTGCTACTTGAGGCTTAACAGCTGATCAGTTCAAAAGATTTTGCACTTAACAGTTTCACAGTATTTTCTGGTCATATTTTCTTCTACATTTTAATATATTGTGTAAAATGAATAGTTTTTGTTTGGATCTAGTGACTTTCTCTAAAACATGAGAAGTAAAATTAAGATTTTACAGGTAAAGTGTATTAAATTGTTTGTGGATTTACCTTCTTTTTTGCTTCCACAAAAGTTTTCATTTCCTTGCAGAATGAAAAATTATCTCTGCTTTCATTATATCATGGCATAAATAAAAATCAAATTATTTTTTCCAATTTTTAATTTATGTTAAAGGAATACTTCAAAAGGCTTTGCAATGAGAGTTAAGGATAATGCTAGAGCTAACACTGGGTGATGACATTATTTTAAGTAATCCATGTTTCTAGAGTGAAAGTGCCATTTCTTTCATCTACTACCAAGAAATCACTTCTTTATGGGAAAGCAAAGCACAAGACAGGCTAGTTTTTTGTTAATCATAGAATCATAGAATAGTTTGGGTCAGAAGGGACCTTTTAAAGGTCATCTAGTCCTACCCCCCCTGCAATGTGCAGGGACATTTGCAGCTAGATCAGGTTGCTCAGAGCCCCATCCAGCCTGACCTTGAATGTTTCCAAGGTTGAGGCATCTACCACCTCTCTGGGCAACCTGATCCAGTGTTTCACCGCCCTCACAGGAAAAAAATTCTTCCTAATATCTAGTTGAATCTACCCTCTTTCAGCATAAAACCATTACCCCTTGTCCTATCACTACACTCCCTGACAGAGTGCCTGCGCATCTTTACAGCAGGCCCCCTTGAAGTACTGGCAGCCTTCTATAAGGTTTCCCTGGAGCCTTCTCTTCTTCAGGCTGAAAAACCCCAACTCTTGCAGCCTTTCCTTATAGGAGGGGAGCTCCATCCCTCTGTCCATTTTTGGGTCCCTCCTCTGGACCAACTACAACAGGTCCATGTCCTTGTGCTGAGGACTCCAGACCTGGATGCAGTACTCCAGGTGGGGTCTCACAAGAGCAGAGTAGAGGGGGAAAATCACCTCCTTTGACCTGCTGGTGACGCTTCTTTCTGTGCAGCCCAGGACACAGTTGGCTTTCTGGGCTGCAAGTGCACACTGCTGGCTCATGTCTATCTTTCCATCCACCAGTACCCCCAAGTCCTCCCCTGCAGGGCTACTCTCAATCCCTTCATCTCGCAACCTGTGTTGTACCAGGGGTTGCCCAGACCCAGGTGAAGAACCTTGCAGTTGTTAAGGGCAGTTTAAGTTAAACACAAACTCACATTTTCTGGGAAGGAAGAGTTGGTTGTTTTCTTTTCAAGGGTAACATTCTGTAGTTATTATTTTTTTTCACAATTTTGTAGCTTATGTTATAAATCACTATATTCTAAATCTAGAAGAGAACTGCTCACTTAATTTTAATATTTGCATTAGAAGGAGATACTTAGCAATACAAAAGTTTTGAGCCTGTTATAACTGCAACTACAGTTATTTAATGCCAGTGGAAGTTTCTGGTCAAGTAAAATCCTGTGCTGAGTATCAAGCGCATGGCACTACTGTCTTTATACAGCCCAAAATTCTATGTCAGTGGAACGTTTACAAAGGATGCTTGGTTAGATAGAGGAAGCTTAGCAAGCTGCACTTATGTCAGTACACCCGGACTTTTTAAATTCACTGTATAGAATCTTTTTAAAAAAGAACAGTTCACTCTCTGCTAAATAATATGTTTTAATTGAAAATAGCAACATAGTTTATTGAACTACCTTAAATATTGCATATCTGTATTTTAAGACGTGACTGTTGATGATATTGGCAAGGTGTCTATGTTCTTTTACCTTTCCTTTCTCCTCTGTAAAAAAAAAATAAAGAATCATAGTTCAGAACTTTTAGTACTTTTATGTGTATTATTGATGGTCAGCAATGAGATTTCTTCAGCAATAGGAGATTCTGTGAAGCATGAACTAATACAGACTTTTTTTATTTATTCAGGTAATTGTGTCAATGAGTGTAGCATTTGCCAAACAGACTGAATTGTCAAGAATTGCTAGGCAGAAGGAAGAAGAGGCACAAACACAGGTTGCACATCAACAGGGAATACCTTTTGAAATTAAAAAGCAATGTACAGAAGAAGAGGTCGATGGCCCTCTTAGAAAAGCAACAGAAAAAGACAGTAAGTGTGAAGAAGAATTTAAATCACTTTGCAAGGAACTCAGTGAAGAGTCAGGTGAGATCAACTCACTTGGAGAAGAGCTTCATTCTAATAGCAAACCTGATTGCATATTAGGACAGACCACACAAGAATCAGTGATTTCTGAGGAACTCTTTTCCTGTGTCAAAGGGTTTACGGCAGAAGAAACACTGGTAAGTGTAAAAAAAAAAAAAAAAAACTGGCAGTGTCTAACACCATGACTGAATAATCTTTCCAATGGAATTACAGTTAATTTCAACGAGAAAACTGCAAAGAAAGAAATTAAGTTTAAATTCCATTTAAATATTTCCCTTTCAAAGGGGTGACAACTTTAGACCTAAATTATCTACCCTCCTCTCCTGTGTTCTGCCTGACTATCGTAGCGTTATGCTGTGCTGTGAGGAAAGGAATATGACACTGGTTACATGAAAATAGGTTATTCCATTTTGTGGATAAAACTGTGTTGCTGGCAATAAATTGTATAAAGACTTTTTGTAAGCTAGGTTATATTCTAGTGTTTATACAAGGAACATTAAAAATAGAGTTTGAGTCCCTTGTGATAAAGGATATCAGCTGAACACAAAAAATGTAAAAGTAATATGTAAAATATATATTTAGCATTTCACAGACGTGGGATGGGATAAGATGTGGCATAAGTATGGTAAAAAGCAGTCATAAATTTTGACTCCACAATTTCATCCTAGTTTATTTTTTAATTAAATTTGGCACTAGTTGAAGCAAAAAATAATACTTCCAAATTTGTGTAACAGTTAAATATTCAGATTTTGTATTATCTTGATAGTGAATAAACTGTAATATTCTTGTTTTGTATGATATTCTCAAACTTCTGATGGTGTTCACACACACACACACACGCGTGTGTGTCTGCTACTGCATTTTCTGTTGAGATACCAGCCAGCTAAAAAGCACAAGAGTTAACACTGTTCAGTTATTTTAAAAAACTTGTCTTTTGAATGGAGAATAATTCTAAGCCTGGACCTTTCAAGAGGCAGGCAACAAGATAATGCTTTCATGATAGCTACTTTAATTGTGAAAGTATTTTCTAAAATTTATTTAAACATTTACTAGAAATGGCCATTGAACCTACAATGCTAAAATAGTTCGAATATTTCAGCGCAACAGTGAGATGACAGCATCAGACACAGAAACGTCAAGTCAGCTGTTGTTATATGAGGAACGTTTGGAAGACATGCGACAGGAGCTAGTCCGGCAATATCAGGAACATCAGCATGCAACAGAATTGTTGAGACAAGGGCACATGCAGCAAATGGAACGTCAAAAAGAAAATCAAGAGCAACTCTTGGCCGAGCTTGAGAGCCTTAAAGTGCAATTAGCTGAGGTAATACAGGGTTTGACTCAATGAGTTAACATGGATTAACATCACCAGGCAGATTTATATTTATTTATACTTGTATCTCTATATTTGTTGAGGGACACATACATATTTACTATATGCATGCATACACACACGTATCTATTTGTGTGCATGTATATATACAAACACACGTATGCACATATGTATAAAAGGCATATTTCTTTAATCAAAGCTCAGACAGTTATGGATAAATTTAGACTTCTGTAAACCTTGGGAAAATGTGCAGTGCTGCACAGCAGCCAGAAGGGTGAGTGAGTGCAGATGCATTGTAAACCATACCACCTTCCAAATACATGGCCCTGTGCAGGATTCAGGTTAGCATCAATTGACATCAATGAAGCCACCAGCCATGGCTAGAAATACTATGGAATTCTTCATTTTTCCTCATCCCCAGCTGAGGTTTGAATGGGTATCAATGGCTTCCTGCAACAATGTGTTTGGGCTTTTTTTTTTTTTTTTAATTCATGGGAGATGAAGTCCTTACAGACTGTTAGAATAAAAAAAAATCTATGGGGTTTGGTGGGAAACACCACTGTTTCATTGTCTTTTTAAACTTATCTTGCTGTCACTTTGCAGCTATTCAAAGCCTATAGTATGTATGCCAGTGAAACTCATTAATTTATCTTAACAATTAAGTCTTCAAAAATAATGTCATTTATAGATGTCTTTAAGGATTCCTTACTTTGAAAGACAAAGTAAACAGAATCCAGAAGAATTTGTCTTGCTCTGATTTAATTTCAACAATGTAAGATTACAGAAATGCACATGGAAAGAGTAATCAGTGAATTCTAAAATTCGTTGATTTCACTGTGGAGTGGTGCTTTAGGTTCATTCAGACCTTATCCAAACCTGGTTCTGTCCAGTTTAAGTTTGGGCTCAAGGAGCTGGGGAATGTAGAGAGCCAGTCACTTGTATGCTAGGTGTCTTTTCCAGCAATGTCAGGTGTCTGTTTCTCCTAGCTGCTTTGTAGGGGTCTTTCTATGATTTATCCTGATAATTTTTCCTTTCAATATAGACATCCTTTCTCCTTTTCTCTCTTTTTCAATTTGCAATTGCATCTTTCATCAGGGGTTCAGATTCCTGAAACTGATGAAAAAAACATTAAGGAGAACATATGTGTCTGGCTTTTCTCGATTTTTTTAATGCCAAGGATGTTTATCCATGAGAACCACATAGGAACTTATACATTGTGTTTAAGCCATGAAAACTTCTAGCTCTTCTAAAAGAGAGTGTGTGTAGGCTTTTTATAAAAAGAACGTATTGTCATCTCTTTTCTTGTGCAAAACATGATAAAGCATGTAATATTTGTAAATGAACCATCCAGTTTACATTGTGACCACCGTGTTTCATAAAGAGCTTACAAATTGTATTAAAATCTTAAGGAAGGTATAAGATACCAAAAGTGTTTATTGGCAGTATTCCATTCTAGAAAGCTTTCCTTGTTTTTGTAACCATTTAAAGAAGTGGACTGAAATTTAATTGTGTAAAATACGTAAAAAAATTAGAAATTACAGGACTACCTAATACTCAGAAGCTTAAAAAATTGTGTGTTCCTCTGTAATGCTTCTTTCTTAGCGTGTCTCAATGGAGAGTGACAGCCTGCTTGCAGAGAGAGAGAGAATGCTTTTAGAAGAACTGGAATCATTAAAACAACATTCTGTACCCGGAAAGGAGAGGCTGTTTAGTGAGCTACGAAACAACAGCACACAAACAGAGGTAAGTATGGACTTTGACTTTCTTGGCAGCTGTGGCATGTAAAACCAGTAAGATTTCTTATCAGTGCTACTCTTTTTATGTTATACCTATAATATGTAATCTTTCCTAAAAGATGTTGGGTATTGCTTGAACAGAGAGGGTTTAAGAATCAAGAGGTGGTACTGGTAGACATAGTTTTTTACTTCAGGTAGGCAGAAGCTAGTTTAACAGCTTGAAGGTGGGGATTATTGCTATAGCTATTTGCTCAGGTAAACTCTCATTTTCATATTGCTATAGCAACACCAACAGAAAGTGCGAGAACTGTTTAATCAGCATAACAAAGTTCTTTTTAATAGGCCCTGCCTTGGATTTCCTCTTTTGTTCTTATTTATGTTTTATTTAATTTTTCCACAGAGGAAGAGTATGTCTTGATTTGCAATTTGGTGCACTTTTATTAACAAAACACAACTAATTTAGATTTTAAATTTCATATTCTACTGTGTACAAGAAGAGTATGTTGATTCTGGCATGACAGGATTTCTGTCCCTTTTGTCTTCTCTTCCTCTGCAAAAACTTACTCAGAATGAAAATGAAGACCAAAATGATGTGAGAGAGCAGATCTTTGAGGATGAAGATGGCGGAGGAAAGCCTGATGAAACATCTTCAGCTCTTCTTTCTAAAGAAAGGTGCTTGAACTCTTAAGAAAACCAATTTTAAAAAACATTTGGGAATCATTTTCTTGTTAAATTAATAATATTTATAGGCTTTATTCTGACCAATGATAATGGCATTTTTTAGTCTAGGTCACCATATTTCTAAGTTTACATACTTTAAACAGTGATTTATTTTTTATAAAGCCTAACAAAGTAATGACTTAGAGGATGAAACAGGTCTTAGCCTATTTTACTATATCTTTCATATTACACACATATAGGATCATATACATCATTGAAACGTATGTATTTGTATACACATTGTATGGACATATATGAAATAATTTCATGCTAATATAATTGTTGTATTTAGTAATACCTTTTAACTATTCTGTAACTTCTGTGTAGAGGAACAATCTTTTTAACTGTTACTTTGAGAAAAGAGTAAGTTTATAATTAATACCAGCCAAATGTGGACCTCTGTTTTAAAATAATTACTAGATAAAATACCAAGATAAAACTAAAAATATTGATAAATACTTTGACTTCTTACATGTTTTGTAAAATGGAGGACTTTTAACATGAATGTGCTTTTAATATTTATATATAAGATGTGCGATTTAGTCTTAAAAAAAGGAATCTTTACTGTTTCAACTGCAAATCTTTCCTGTTTGCAGGGGCATATAAGGGATTAAAACCACTTTGAAAGCAGGGGGAAATCAAAGAACTGATTAGTTTCTGTCCTGCAGGCATGTTTTTCAGAAAGCTAATGAGAAACTCATGAAGATTCTTTTGGAAGTTGTGAAGACAACTGTGGCCATGGAGGAGACAATTGGTCGCCATGTTCTCGTGTTACTGGATCGGACTGGGAAAGTCCAGCCTTCCAAACCAGTTGGATGGGATGCAGAAACAGAGGAGTTAGTAAAACCCTGTGTCCATGTGGGATATGAAAAAGGTACTGATTGTATGGTTTTCTATTTCATAACAAGTAGTATTTGCATACTGTTGTTATATATTTAAATAACCTTGTTTTTTAAATTTTTAATTAAAAATATTTTTTCCAAAACTATTTGTAATTTGAGTGCATATGACCTCTCTGCTTAAGAGACAGCATTTCAGGAGTTGTCTGGGTCATGCTCCAAGCCAGTTACAGCTCATATCTAGGGTCCTGTTGCAAAGCCTGCAATAGAACAGGAAAGTGATCGAGAGATACAAAAATAAATATGTTCCTTTTGAAGGAGGCAAAGAGAAGGAGAATTAAACATAGCTCCATGGCTTCTTCCGCCAACTTTACACCTTCCTGCGTATGTATGGGGAATGGGAAATAGTGTCGAAGGCTGTATATCTACTAGTACACTTAATGTACATAGGGATGTTACTGGTCACTGAGGCCAGCTGGCATGAGGCAGCATGTATATATGTGCTTGTGGACTTCCCTAGCCTCCAAATAAGGGTGGTTGTATGCTTGTTGGAAACAGTTCCAGGAACTTTCTAACTGCCAAGACTTGCCCATCAGCTGTTTGGAGCAGTGCTAGGTGGCACAAGCCTAAAGGAGCATTTTAATGTTGCAGTTAGTTGCTTCCCAGTGTCTAAGAACTCTCCCAGGCTCTGTTGAATTTCTTGCGGTTTTACTAGGATGGTGTCTGTCCATTTCTCTCTTGTGCAAGAACAGGCCCTGTATCATATTGGTATTAGGTACCATCTAGGTGCCATTAAGTTTGTCTACATTCATCCTGGATCTTATGGAGAGGCAATGTACAACACATCAGTTCAGCCTGAAACGCGTAATACAAATGGTAAATTAAGATTAACTTTACCTCTTTAATTCAAAATGTGGATTATTAAATAGTACTGATTCCATCTGACTTTTAAATATAGGTCACACTAAGGCTTGGGGCAAGTTAAGAAAGGACGTATGACTTTGTAGCACAGTGACATCTCTCTCAGTTGATTACTCAGAAGGTTGTCTGTGGTGAAATGCATACAGTTACAGTCTAAGAATTTAATTTTTAAGTTAACGGCACTTCTATGTTTGTACTGCTGTTTCATTAAAAGCTCTCATAACTTGTTTTCTGCACATTTCACTGTATTTAATTGTGAGGAAAATTGTTTTTTGAAAACTCAGACTTTTGAGGCTTTGCCTTTTTCCCGAAATTTTAGAGTGGATAACTGAGCTTCTGGCCTTAGTTTTTGATACTTGTCCAGGAGATCTTCTTAAAGACTGAGAACATCTGCTGCTTTCTTTCAAAATGAAGAATTCTTGCACTTTACTTTGGGGTGGGAAATGAATAGTTTGCTTATGTTAAGGCAGTTAAAAGTATCTTTAACTACTGGCAACTATTTTCCACAGTCTCCTAGCCAAGTGGTAAAAGGAGCAATGACCAGACTCAAAGTTTACCCCCACCTCCTTTTGTATTCTGAGGTAGTCTTAAATTTTATGTAAACTGTATTTTAAGTAAGTTTTATAATTTAAAACCAGCAATGTATAAATAGTCGTATTAGTTGTGTTCTCGTTGTATAGTCTGAGGTATATAAAAAGCATTGAGATTTTCACAACAGACATTGGCCAAAGAAATAAAAACATGTTCTGGTTGTGAAGGCAGTGATCACACCTTGTCAGTTACATGTATTGTGGTATTACCTGCTGCGTTCACTGCACCCAGTTCATACTTTACATCATGCCTATTTAGAGAACATGCACTGTTGCTTTTCTCTCACATTCTTATTTGCTGAGAATACTGCTCCCTTTTCTCAGAGAATAAATACGTCACTGTATGGACAATGTGCTAATATGTGATTGTTGCCCTTTGCTACTCTCATACATGCTTACCCTGCGTGGCCATGTACAATGCGCAATACATGCATTTGCTTTTTGCCTGCATCTGCACAGCAATGTGTGTACTTGTATTTGTCACCAATTATTGTCATTAACAAATCTTAATATGGCTTATTTGCATTACATTTGTATAGAAAAACATAGTTTAAAAAGTAACTTTATTTGGTATTTTTGGGTGGGGTACAGTATAGATTTATGTCTGGTTTTCATGATAGTAGTGTGTAAATGCACACCAGGCACTGTAGTTGGAATGTGTTGTTAATTGCTTGTGATGAAAGGATACTCTCATAAACAGAACTCTGTTCCATTCTGCTAATGATGAAGGTTGACTGTTTTAACTCGTGTTTGCTATTAGTGCGTTTTGAAGAGGCAGGTAAGGTTTCAGTATTTTGTAACAAAGCAATATGTCTGTTATTGTAATGCCCCTCCTTGGTATAGAGAGGTATTTGAGCTGTCCGCATACCAGTTGTTTATTCATGGGGTTTTTTTGCATGTTTCCTTACATTCTGAAATAATTATGAAAGGAAGAAAAAACAAAGTAGAGAGTGAAGATTAAAGAGGACTCAAGCTTACAGTGGCTATATTCTGCCACTGGAGTCAGACGGCCATAGTAGCAGTTGTGCTGTTTCATCAGCTGAAGTAATTGATCCTTCTTCAGATGGAATTAGATGACAAATTCTATTAGTGTTTTCAGCAACAGGACTGTTGTTATTCATTCCCTCTAGTTCTACTGACTGGCCTGAGAGGACATAAGCTTTTAAAATTTTTTAGACACTTCTTCTTTATATTTTAACCTCTGCATATTATTGTGTTTCCTAGTACCTAGCCAAACAGCTCTTCCTTTTTAGTTACTTAGGAAACTTGTAGCAATAAATTTGTACCAATAAAATCTAATAAATAGAAAAAATAGTGTGTTTAATAAAGTGAATTTTCTCTGATCTTCTGAACTTAATCCATGTTTATTGACAAGCAAAACTCAGCTTACTGTTTTTGCTGAGTTTCAGCATTTTAAAAAGCTGAATCATTAAGGTCACATACTATAACCACTAGCTGATTTATAGAGCCTATAGAGGTTTATCTGGGACGTTGCCTGGATTATTGGCTAACACGGGATTTTATTTCTAGCAGAGTGAGTAAAGTTCAAATTTCAGTCATAAAACATATCATTGGAAGTGCAAAGTAATCCCATGAGTTAATTAAATCTGGAGATTTGGGCCAGGAATCATCATGACAGAGCCAGCAGGCTTTGCTGTTCTCCTCCCTCCAAAGGTGATGTTGTACCTTGGGTAGGGAGACTGCAAGTAATGCAGCTTGCTCTGGAGAAGCCTGTGCAGTTATGGCATTCCTTGAACATTAACCCTCTTACCTACTTTCTGAGCTCTTTATTTCCAAACAGTGTACCAGGGTCAAGGTAATAAATAGCTCTATACAGTGAACTGATTTTTAACTTGTAACCTGTAACCTTGATTCCTCAGTGGAATCCCAGGAGTAAACTGAGATACTAGCTGTACATGATACAAAATATGTATTGCTTCATAAATGCCAGTTGTGAGCTCATAAATGACTTCTGTATCTGAAACTTCTGAGTAAGCACTGCATAATTAGGCACTTTTCTTAAGATTTAGTGGTCCGTGACATCTGATGTGCTGAACTGCAGGCTTCGTGGCAAAGGAAACAATGTGAATCTTTGTTGGTTTGGTTTGGGTTTTTTTGTTGTAAGGAGAGGGTTTGCATAAGGAGAAGACATTTTTACTTGAGACAGTTATATTCTATTTATTATTTTGTGTTGACTGAAAAAGAAATTTGTTTTTCATTCTGTTGGGGTAGGAGATTGAACAGCATTATAAGGGTTGGTAAAATGAGGGTTAGGCATTCAGCTGCCAGGGGTGGTTAATAAGACTTGACAACGTTTCTATTTCTTGCTTCCACCACTGAAAAGTCTTCTGGAAAGATGCTGTACTAAGATGCTGTGTGCTAAGACCATTTTCAGGGGAAAAAGGTACAGAGATTTTCACTTTGCAGTTACGAGGACATTTAACAAGAACTGCTGTTCTTAAGTGCTGCTTAGGAGTATGGGCTTTTGTGAGTAACGTTTGTTACTTGCTAGTGATTTTTCTATTTGGGTTGCCAACCCTACAGTATAAACAGAATTATTACAGGTTTTGTGTGCATTTGATACTTCTTGGTTTTCCTTTTTTATCTTTGAGAGTAGTAAAGTTGCCATGTGCCAAATTATACTTTAAGTGACAGCTCTCTCTTTCTTCCCTTGTTTTTTATAGTTATAGTTCAGGTAAATTATGATGTTTTGTTCTGAGATTTTTCATATAACAAAATTATATTTTAATGTTCATTTAGTTCGTATTTATCAAAAAGAAATGGAAGCAAAGTAGGGAAGAACTCACAGAAGCAAAACAGGAGTGTAAAATCCTGTCATTTGTTCTTGGAGGCCAAATTGTACTGTTGTAGGCAGTGGCAAGAAGAAGTAATAATATTAGTGATACTGTTAATCTAAGAGACATATTCCAGACCTGCCTTTTAAAAGATTACATTCTGAGCAGGCATCAGTGTTTTTAAGTTTTTCTCTTAAAGTTTCCAGACAGCCAAGTTCAGATGATATTGCAACAGACTGTGCCTTTCTGCAGTTATTTTGTGTAATGTTTATTTTTGTATTTGACATATACTCATCATTGCACAATTCAGCTGTACCTCTCAAGCAAGTAATTTACTAAAATATAAGTGTTATAGGACATGAATTATGGGTTAAGCCTGTGAAGCAAAACAGGAACATTACATAGATAATTTGTACTCCATCAAGAAAGAACTAGATTGTACAATAACTAATATATCATTGTTTTATCTTATTTATAGCTGTGCTACTGTACTGTGGGCTTTTATTTTGTGAAATCTCTGAAGCTAAGCAGGGTCTTACCTGGTCAGTACTTAAGATGGGTGGCATCCCAAGAGCATCAGGTGCTGCAGTAAGTGTGTTGGTGGATCTGTAGGGAATATGTTTTCCTTCGACTCAGTCTGTACCCAGTACCTTGGCACAGCATTTGGAAATACTTATGCTGCTGGATGTCCATCTTAAATTAAGGTCCTTTCTACTCTGAGGATATTAAAGCTTCCGCATCACTATTGATATTTTGAGACACCCAGAGCCAACCCAAATTTGGGTGATGAGAAATCAGATAGCTATTGAATAAAAATAGTAAATTGTTCATTTTGCAGCCTTCCTTATATTGCAGGGGAGTGGAATATTGTGATGTTTTGGAAAAGCCTTTATGCTATACAAACCCATTGCAAATATCTAGTGTGCAGGCAGAAGATGACTGCCAGCCACTGCTAGGGTGACTCCACTCCACAGTTTGTGACTGAGGTTCCAAAGTGCAGTACTCAAAAGTGCTTTGAAATCCTGTGTAGATGAAAGGTGCCATGTGAATGTATATTCTATTCATCTGGTTATTCATTCCATTCATGCATATAGTGTCCTTCATTTTTTTCCCTTTGGAGTGTGAAGAGTTTGCAACATTATATTCCCATGTATCTAAAAGGAGATATGAAACAGTAGTGATTTCACTAGAAGTAAAAAAATTACTAAATACATCTTAGCAATTATAAGATAAAAGTAAGCAAAGCAAAAACTTTCTAAATTAAAGTCGCTGTAGATTAACTTGTTGTGTATGGGTCACATATACAGCTGCATCCATGATGAAATGAAAGTGTAGCTATTGTTATTGGAATGTTTGCAGGTATAAAAGTATAGTAAGTAGACCAGGTGGTTAATCATGTTGCAACTTGTTAAAAAAAACTAAAGCCTGAGAACTAGAATCTGACTTTCTTGCTAGGTTCAAACAACATCAAGAAGAGGACTCCTATTTCCAATGTTATTTGCGTGCATCGTTCAGAGGCAAGAGCAAGTTTAAGGAAATTGTATCCAGCAAGAGCACTAACTGCATTTTAAAGGCAATTTGTAAAATTGACCTATTATATCTTTTCAATTTGTGTAACTAAACAAACTGTTCCAGCTTCGCAATCACAATTCATGGAGTAACCAGGAACTTAAATTCAAAGATAACCCAGTATTGCAACTTTATTGCCAAACAGGCATTGACTATTCTTAACTCAGTCATACTGCTGTTTCCCAAAAATAAGGGGCTTTTTTGAGAAACCTCAAGCAAAGACAACATGTAATTGTTTAAAAAATAATTAAAAAAAACAACACACCAAAACATTTAATTTATTTTATTTAAATATATTTCAGAAATATACTTCATTAAAATAAACTGTCATTTTAAAAAACTTTCTACAATAGCATTTATTTCTGACATTTCAAATCTAACAGCCTAATGACGTAACACTTCTTCATTTTTAAAACACAATATCAACAAGTTTTCTGCTCTCGTGATGTACTACTGTATTGTTATTTCATACTGAAAGTGTGATTTTAAAACTTCTCGGGAGTTTACTTTCACTTGTCTTGATTAAATACAGCACTGAACTCTAAATATGGGAAACTTACTGCTTTCTAGATAAATTGCTATCAGTTTAGTACCATGGGCAAACTTTGTGTCTCCTGTTTTTCAGACAGAATTGATAACACCCTTAAACTGAGTTGTGCCTCAGGAAGATTGAGAAGTAGGCAGGTGACAGATTTTCCATCAGTAGGGACAGTTACAGTCCCCCTGCAGTGTACTTGATTTGTTCAGCTACCCATTTTAATCAGTTTTCAGTTCACTAATAATAATACTGAATTTTTATGTTCTGTATTCTAGTCTGTTTGTCCAGAGAAGTTGTCTGAATTACATGTGTGTCTTTCCCTTTACTCACTCAAGTCTGTGCTTTTGAATCACTAACTTGAACGGTTTTGTGTTAGTGCACACTAATATAGCTGGACATTGATGAAACAGTGACTGACAGTCTGAAGGTTTTTTTTACCTGTTTGTATTTTAAAGACAAATCTTTAAAGATCTTGCAAGTCGTTATTGCAAGTTCTTCAAAGTAGTAAGGGTTACTGACAGTAAAAAGTTAGAAGATGAGCCTCAGAGCCCAAAAGCTTACTGAAAGGACGTCTAAAATATTCTCTGTTAGTATCTCCTTTTTCTCTAAATCTACTTGTTTTTAGTCAACACATTGTGTATCTTGTTTGTGTAAGTTTTAGTATGCAGTATTTCCCTTTCTGTCTTTGTGACCAATGCAAATATTTTGATCGTTTCATGACTTATCTTTCTAATCGTAACTCAGATGTGCAGTTTTTAATGTTTTGAAGTGCTAAGAGTCTGTGTGAAAAGATTACTATTGTTTTTCCAGAGTCCTGTTCTTCATATCATGGTAGTAGTGTGGGAGATGATGATATTAACATGTGGTCAGGAGCAACAGATGAAGGACTGCTGAGCCAACATCTTGCAGAAAGTGGAGTGGAAATAGATCCCGAAAATGAAGAACTCATTCTGAATGTTAGTTCTCGACTACAGTCGGCTGTTGAAAAGCTTCTGGAAGCTATCAATGAAACTTCAAATCAGGTAGGAATGATCTAATAAGAAAGCATTTTAAATTTTGTGTCTCGATTATTTTTTCTTTATTTTTCTCATTAATGTGTTTTTATAAGCCTAAAGCCTGCAGGCTCGTTTTGAAAGCTGAAACAATACTTTGTCTGCCTGCTCCAAGTGTGACTTTACTGATGAATTTAGATTCATGTTAGAAATCTGCTTTGAGCTGCAGAGGAAGCCAGAATTTAGGTATGTTTGTCAATCTAAGGCACTCTTTCATTGCTCATACGGGTCATTGCCATTCTCCTGCAATCCAGAGATGAGACAGGAGGTGTCAGGGCACATTGAGCTGGCCCTTGTGAAGAGGGAGAATTAAGGGGAACTGTGCCCAGTTCTCTTGATGAACATTTAAGTCAATTGACTGACCAAAAAGGTGGAGCTCTCCTACTGTCTCTTCCAACTATGCTTTAAATGTGGCCAGTTAAGCACATATTCATTCACCTTGCTGTCATAAAAAAAGGAGTCTGCATTCCGGCTCTCCAGTATTTATGTGAGGTATGTGATTCATGAATAGTCTCCAAAAAAGAGGCAGTGTATGGTTACTTCTTTATGTTTGCTATCAGGATACTTTGCATGGTGGGGTGTTAGTTGTTCTCTGGAGTACTTCCCTGTTAATTGAAAGGGGGTCTGTGTACCTAGCTCAGTCAGTTCAAATCACACTGCTTATATCACATGCTTTACTTTTAGATGATGTACATGTCAATATGAAAGTGTCTAAGTACTCTGTATCTCACTATAACTTTTTTAAAGTCAATCTCTTGAAGAACTCAGTCTTCAGAGTCAGCTCTTTACTCTGAGACTAGAATTCAAAGGATACAGTGTGTTTTATGCTACACCCATCTCTTAGGTAACCTAGTAATGGTATTACTTTAAAAGTTATTGCTATCTTGTCTCTGGATGTAAAATGAGTAAATCGTAACTACTGGGAATGACGGAGAAAAAAGCTGTGATGATGAAAGTAATGTGAACATTCAGCTATCAAATACTTTAAAAGTTTCAAGCATTTCGGTATTTGTTGCTTTTGAAAAATACTTTAAAAATTAAGTTGTTATTCTTTCTTCTTTTCTTAAAAAAGAAAAAGATAAAAGACTAATTTGTGACTTAGTAAAGTTAAAATTAATTTATATACAAATTCTGCAAACCCCCCTTTGGCTTACCAAAGCAAGTGGTCTGGTGGATCTTGTAAATCAGTTTCTGCATTGCGTTTGTTTGCAAACTCACTCTGCAGCAGCTCTCTTCTGTTTGAGCATGAGTTCAATTAAAAAGAGATGGTTGCTTTTTTGAGGTCTTTTTTCAGCTTAAGGCCTAACATTACCTAGTAATGAAAAAGGGTACACAGATACTCCAATATATGGAGTTCTTAAAAGGAAAAATAAAAAACACCCAAAAAAAGGCAAATGTAGTTAGACATTTGTAGGAAATCTTGCATTTAAAGAGCAGATGATACAGACAAGGAAAAACACCTTCAAAGTTTTACAGTAATGAAGAATACAATTATAAAAGTATTGTCAATTATTTTTTCCAGTTGGTGCATCTTTTTTCTGCACATTTTGCTGCTGATCTTTAAATGCAGTAGTTTTATTCATAGCCCTAAGTTATTTTATTTTTGTGACTGATGTTTTTACACTAAGGATTTACTCTTCATAATGCCAATGAAAGTAGCCAGTTTATTGTAAGTAGCTTGTTTTTATTTATTGTCAGTTGATCAGGAAAGTTTAAAGCTGAGACCTTAGCAATATCAGTAACAGAGTTATGTTTTGGCTCAAACACCTACATGCACATTTTATTCATGGATATGAATCATACTAATATGGATTTATCCTTGATGATAATTTCAGTGTTTTTTTTTAAGTTAATAAAATGTTAATCTGTTTACACATATTCCCACAGTACTGAGTATAAATATTGACATCTTTTCTGGCTGTTCTGTAGAGGTACTTGGCAAACATTCAAGCTTGTGTGCTTTGCAATGTCTGTTGTGTACTTACTGGTTTATGTACAGTTCCTATATGTACCAAGGGTTTGTAGGTGACTTGACATTTATTTTTAAATATTCAGAAACTGAATACCTTATAAAATATTGTAGAGTAGAAAAAATACTCTAAAACTAATTACAGGCAGAAAAGATTCTTAACCTTTCCTCTTAATCATTTGTGTTGTGCATACAGACATGTACCCATCTCTTAAGATAAACTTAAAAGAGTGAGAGAAACCTGGCAAAATCTTCAAAGTAACTATTTGAGACCTGTCTGAACACACTTTCAGACCTGAAGTACAGTTTGAATCTTTATAGGCAAGGCGTATAGTGGGTGTGTCAATTCAAATTCCACCTGCTGGTGTTATGTATAGGTAAATAAATCAGACCACTCCCCTGAACTCTTTCGGTTGGGAGATACTAACAGGAAGCCTTTAAACTAGCAGAGTTGGAGGAAGTTCTTCCTGTTGAATTAACTCCAAGAACAAGAATGAAGACGAATAATGACAGATCTGTACTTCTCTTTCATTCGCCGTAGTGAAGATAGAAAATCATTTTTAGTTTCTGTTCTGCTGAGTTGCCTTTCTGCTGTGCTGTACCTTTGCAAGTGAAACAAAATTGTGCTTGCTTGCCTTGGAAATTACCTGCCAGCTGCTATTGGAAAATTTTTGTTGCTTTTTCATGTGAAACTTCTCTAAGAAGGATTTTTAGGAGTGACTATATGAAGCTTTCTTGCACCTCTCTCTATTTTGGATTACTCCACTCCTGAATTACTCTGAGTATGGGATCTGAGGCTTCCTCGTGATTCTAAGTAGGTTTGTCACCAACAGTGCTGATATATGTCTTCAGACTGTTAAATGTACCTGTTCTGTTACAAAAGCCAGTTAGAAATTTCTAAAACCAGCCTAAGTAGTGCAAAATACCTTTGTGACAGTTGAGAAGACGACAGCAGCAATATTTTTTGGAATGGATTCTTACAGCACCTACTGGGCATCTAATCTGTTTAGTGGTTTGTGGAATGAAGGCCAAGAAGAAGATACATACGAGGTTGAATCTCATGTGCCTTTACCTTGTCCTTTTCCTTTTACTGAACACTTGGATGAGAATAATTCTGTAGTTGTAAATACTTCAATTTTTCACTTCAGACACAAAAATAATGGGCACATTGTAAAAGTTGTCTCTAAAATCTCCTTGCCTACACCTCCCTATTCAGTAAGTATAAAAGTTTTTAAAATAAAATGTTTTTAAACCAGCTTAAATAGAAGAGAATGCAGTGAAAAATGATATAAACTTGTCTCTGTCGTTAAAGAATATTATGTTCTGTTGACAGGCTTTTTTCCTGGACAGTTTTTACTAGGCACCAAAGAAGCTTTAATCATATAATTCTATCTGTTCATTTCTAACAAAAGAAATGTAGCAGACACAGAGATATATTGAATTTACAGAGATTTCCACTCTCTTTTTAAAGCACTTCAGTGTTACTTATTATATTACCTTTTTCTCACTGAATAATTTGTGTTGGGGGAGGGGCTGGAGTCAATTAAAATTGTTCCTTTATAGCTTTCAGGCACTGACTAGTAACATTAGCTAGCACAAGCTTGCTAATGGCTTCCAGTGATTCCATGAAGAAATTTTTCTTCTTGAAAAATCATGTTCATGTTTCTGCTGCTTTTTGGGTTTGCCCTCTGGTATTTTTAATAATGCCTTGAGTTGTTATTACTGAAAAGAGCTGGAGACTAGTTTTTATTCTGAGTTTTATTTGGAGTATTTAATGCATTTGACTAAGTCATTGTTATGGTTGTCTATATACAGTAAACCTATCGTATATTTCCCTTTTATGTGAGATGAGTCTTTCATTAAGCACTTCAAAATATAAGACTAAAGTAAGAATACTATGTGATTTTAAATATCTCAAACCAGTGCAGATATTCAGCTGCAGTTTTTATACCTTTCTTTAACTCCTTTCATAACAAATAGTTCACAGTAATGATGTCTATCTAAAAAGGAATGCTGTAGAAAATAAATCAAGTATTTATGTTCAGTGTATTATAAAAGAGAATGTATTGATTACTCAGACATTCTTTTCAAAGTGTTATTTTATTTTTAAGTGGATAATTTTGTGTGCAATTCTCTATGAAATATTTCTAACCCATTTTTCTGAGATTGTAAAGTATGCTAATCGTGCTCATGAACTTAGCTGGAGATGGTGAGAAAGCTTTTATTTTTTAAGAAATTGAAAGGAAGAATGTTCATAGAAACTGTAACAAAGCCACAGATGTTACTATCTTACAAATATCTGCCAATATCCATAATATTAAAGAGGAAAATTTAAAAAAAAATAAAAAAAAAGGAAGAGGAGCAGGAAATGTGTTCTTTCATTTTCTGAAGTGTGTGGTAGGTGATAGCTTGCTCGTATTTGGTACGAAATTCATATATAAATAAAGGTGAATCTAGTGTAAACTCATAAACCAGGAATTACCGGAACAAAGACACGGGTTTAGCCAGGTGGCTCATTGAGTTCACTGTACTGACAAAGGCTATTTGCTTAGACTTTTGTACTGAGTCAATCTTCCTATTGTAGTCTGCAAACACATGTTCAGTAAAGATCTTATCGAATGTCCAGTGAAGTTATGAAGACTTCTCATCACAACTTAAAGCAACTGTTAATTAAATAGGATTGATAGAATAGTTATTTATAAACCAAAGGTTTTCTGATCTAACTTGTGTAATTTTTTCCTGTGGTAGCTTGAACACGCTAAAATTACTCAGACAGAACTCATACAAGAGTCCTTCAAAAAGCAACAGGAGGCCACAGAATTTATAAAGTATCAGGAAGAACTACAAGAACGTCTTAATGAAGAAACCAAAGCCAGAGAGCAATTGGCTTTGGAGCTTAGTAAAGCTGAAGGTGAGTAGCTTCTTTGATGGGTTGTTGAACTTTGTGCTCGACTATTAATTGGATTAAAAAATCGCAATTCAGATCAATTTCTTTGCAAATTCTAGAATGTTATCAGCCTTCTGAATAGTTATGGACAAGACCTCTGGAGGTCCCTTCCAACATCAGGCACTCTGCAATTCTGTTTCACAACTTTGTCTCACTTATTATTGTCTAACCTATGAAAAATAATAGGTTGGATATGTGTTATTATCCTCAAAATTAAGTTATTTCATCATAACATGTCTGTCTGTGCAGACAAGCTTAAATATATTAAAAACTTAGAATCATAGAATCATAAATAGTTGGGGCTGGAAAGCACCTCTGGAGAGCATCTGTTCCAACCCCCTGCTCCAAGCAGGGTCAGGTAGAGCAGGTTGCCCAGGACTGCATCCAGTCAAATTTTGAATGTCCACAGCCTCTTAGGGCAGCCTGTTCCAGTATTTGACCACCATCAAAGAAGAGAAAGGGAAAAAAAAAAAAA